CAAATAAGAGTCATGAGGTGTTGAGAGAAGATCCACACTGCTAGTGAATGGACTTCTGATATCTGTGGCAGGGATCTTCATTATTTGGCATCTTTTCTATCCTCAACTGTGATCCAGATTAGTTATGACTGGATAAGTGACTTCTCCATAAGCGAGGTGTCACAAAATATTATTTCAAGGCATTTCTACTCTTCCACCTGTTCAAAGTGTTTTAGTCATCATCGTAATTAGAAAGATGGCCTAGTTCCTCAAGCTTCTGGGTAGCCATCCGATGCTTAGAAGTAGAGACACGTGGCTACAACTTGTGTAAAAATAGGCCTCCAGATGGCTTAGGGGCAAAGTTACAACTCAGCAGCTTGATATAGCTGAGCACTCAAATTTTGGAGTAGGAGGAGAGCTTTGTGAGGAATAGCCAGAGAGACTGGGCTTGAATCCAATCATAAGTAGAACAGTATTTGCCAGGAGAGATCACTTAACGTGGCAGATTAGCTGTTAAGATTTCTTGTTTACTTCATCTCCATCTCTTCCCCACCTTCCTTGATTCACCCTTACCTCCTAGCCTTAGGGAAAATGTCCCCCCCCCCTTAAAAAAATGGAGTATAAAGGTACAAATCGTCAAGGGTTTTAGAGCTCTACTAGCCTAACTCCTGTTTTAGACACAAGCAAAGTGAGACATAGAAAGGCGGTGACTACTTAGGCCAACTAGCAAGTTTGTGAAAATCAAGGGCTCCAGCTTCAGGTGCAGAACTCATCTTCCTGCCTTCTGGGGAGGGTTGGGCAGTCACACTAGACTGTATTTCCTCTAGCCCTGCCTTGGGTCATTTGCAACTCAAAAAGTGAAGCAGCTGGTTAAAACAACCAACCAACCAACCAACCAACCAACCAACCAACCAAACAAACAAACAAACATACAAACAAACAAGGACTACTGCAAGGACTACTGTAAAAGCTGTAATACTGCTTCCACTCCTCAAAACAAATACTGGAGCTCTGAAAGATGAGTCACTAGCTTGAAATATTTTGTTTGACAAATGAAAATATTTACTAGTCAAATGCTTCAAGAGACTAAAATAGTTATCAAGTTGTTCAACCTTCTAATCATTCTGCATTTCAGTTGGATATTCTGGAAGCAAGCCTGTTTAGAGTAAATCAATTGCTTCAAATATTTCAATGTCTGTTTAAATATCTCAAGATCTGTAGAAAGCTTTGGTTTTTAAAATGTAGTAATTTTAAAGTGTAGTAATTAGGAATGGGTTAATGCTTCTATTTAGCAGCAGTTATAATAAGCACTATTGTTTTTTGAAAAACCAGCAAGTTGAGAAACACGCTTTCTTTTAACACTGTTTATGATCAGACCAAATCCAAGGCATTGCTGTGCCCTGCTGGCAGCAGAGCCTCATTGTGGGTAAGCAACTTAATTGGCACAAAGACTTTGGGTGCCAGTCTTCTAAATTCAGTTCTACAATAAACTGACTCTTGACAATGAAGCTGGTGTGCACTGTTAATTTAGCCCTTGAACCACCATGGTTTCTTGTACCACGAAGCTGTAAAAAGGAATTTGCAGACTTTTTATTAAGTGAGCAGAGAGCAGCAAACTTTGTTCAAGAAAATAAGGAACTGTTTATTTATTTATTTAAATAGATTTTCTTTTTGTTTTTAAATATTTATTTATTTACTTATACAAGAACTGGGTACAGTCAGAAGTGTGGGAGGGTGAGAGAATTCACCAAAGCCAGAGCGGGGAACAGAACAGCCAGACTGACGAAGTACACTGCTGAGGGGAGCAGTGGGCGTGGCATGAGAGGTCTACGCCATGTGGGACCCTCGCCCTGTGGCAGGGGATCTAACCGGCGCTGCAAAGGCTGCAGGCAACTTCGCAGCCCAGTGCTCAACCGGTGCGCCACCGGGGAGGCCCTATTTTTTAAAATACATTTTCTTTTATATAATTCTTACATCATTTTTTCATTTTTGCACAATGTATGCATTTTCATTTTGGTTATATTCCCCATACAATTCTCACCCCCCTTATTTTGACCCTAATCCAGCCTCTCTTCCCCCCCTCCCCAGTTATGTGTGTCTCTGGTTTATAGTTGCTTGTTGATTTTGATTTTTTCTTTATTATAATTTGTCTTTTTCCTGGTCCCTTATTTAGGTTTTCTAAATTCCTGCTGAGTGAGACCATCTGGTATTTTTCTTTTTTTTATGGCTTATTTCGCTGAGCATGATCCCTTCCAGCTCCATCCATGTTGGTGCAAATTGCATAAGTTTATCTTTTTTGATTGCTGAGTAATATTCCATTGTGTATATATGCCACATTTTCTTGATCCAGTCATCTATTTTTGGGCATTTGGGTTGTTTCCATAGCTTAGTTATTGTAAATCGTGCTGCTATAAACATAGGGGTGCAGGTGCCCTTTTGAATTAATGTTTCTGTGTCCTTTGGGTAAATACCTAGGAGTGGAATTGCTGGATCATATGGAAGCTCTATCTTTAGTAGGTTGAGGAATCTCCATACAGCTTTCCATAGTGGTTGGACCATTTGCACTCCCACCAGCAGTGCAGGAGAGTTCCGTTTTCTCCACATCCTCGCCATCATTTGTTGTTGCTAGTTTTTTTAATATGTGCATTCTCACTGGTGTAAGATGGTATCTCATTGTAGTTTTGATTGGAACCATTTATTTAAAGGAAGAAAGCAAGGACTCCCAGGTGCATGGTACCTGGGAGTGTAACAAGGTGGTTCCTAGGATAAGGGGAGGTTCCAGGTTCCCTGATGCACCCAAGGGAGGGTGGAGCTGAGCAGGGAGGAGAAGAAGCAGGAGAGGATACTGGAGAGGAATGAAGAAGGATGGAAAGCCAGGAGACCTGGAGGAGACATAAGGAGCAGAAAGGCATGTGAAGTAACTGCGCTTTGTTTCTTAGTCCTAGACTGGTTGAAACAGATGTGGGTGAAAGACCTGTGGGGAGGTTAACAATGGCAGAGTTTATCTTGATCTTGATTTTGCTCTTTTTTCCCCCCAGACTTGTCTGTTTTTGACCCTTTTTTATGGGTCCCCGCTGGAAGGTGTTTTAGACTTGTGACAGGCTTTTGGGCCTTAATGGCCCTCTTTTAGGCCAATCCCGTTTAGCTGGACATTTACCCACAAGGGGAAGGGTAACTTCAGGTACTTGATTTGAAAACTAAATTTTTTGTCTTTTTTGTATTTCATGCTAATTGTATTAAAGGTTTTTTTTTTTTCCCATTAAAGGTCATATGCACTAGAGTGTGTTTTGTCTTGATGTGGGGGAGAGCAGGACCTATTTAGAAGGGCAGCAAAAAGTTTGGGGGTTCTGGTTCTTCCCCCGCTCCTGTATCAGGAGGGGCAAAGAAGCCTCATGGGCCCATTTCTAGCAGATACTTAAACCCTTTTTTCTCTGTTTTAGAATCTCATCATCGGGGCCTCCCTGGTGGTGTAGTGGGTTGAGCACAGCGCTGTGAAGCTGTCCACAGCCTCTGCAGTGCTGGTTTGATTCCCGGATGGCCCATGAAATACCCACATGGCGCGGCAGGCCTCTCCTGTCTTGCCCACTGGTCCCCTCAGCAGTGTTTTCAATCTGTCTGCCCGTTGTGCTCCCCTCTCTGTCTCTGGTGCATCCTCTCACCCCCTGCACCTCTGGCCTGTATCCCAGTTTTTGTATAAATAAATCAATCTTAAAAAAACAAACACTTAAGGGCCTCCCCTGGTGGTGCAGTGGTTGAGCGCTGGGCTGCAGTGGCCCACGGCCTCTGCAGCGCTGGTTCATTCCCGGGCCGCTGGCAAGGGTCCCACCAAACAAACAAACAAAAAAACAAAAAAACCCCAAACACTTAAAAAATAAAATAAAATCTCATCATCATATTTGGTAACTGGCTCTTTCTCCTAGTGGTTATACTCCTCTAGGTAGATATGCCCCCTTTTACAGCTTTTATCTTAGTCTTTTTTTTTTTTTTTACTGCCCTGTCTCAGGTCTCTTAAAATTTACTTTTATTAGCCTTAAAATTTACTGCCCTTGTTAGCCCTCCTGGATTTCTGACCTCATCACTGGAGTATGGTTAGCACCTCTTAGAATTTTCTGTCCTTATTGTAGAAAACTCTTTAATTCTCCTGAAATCACTGAAGCTGCTAATTAACCCTAACTTGCCCTCAGACTCAACAGTACTCCCATTAGCCTTGCACAGCCTTACCTGAAGGGTGTATAGTTATCAAAAATAACCAAAACCAAAGCAAAAAAACCCCCAACTTTTTCCAATACAATAGGATTAGTGTTTTTTTTTTTTTTTAAGATTTATTTATTTATACAAGCACTGGGTACAGTCAGAAGCACAGTAGGGTGAGAGAATTCACCAGAGCCAGAGCGGGGAGCATAACAGGCAGAAGGACCAAAGTACACTGCTGAGGGGAGCAGCGGGCAGCAGGAGAGGCCTGCGCGCCATGTGGGACCCTCGCCGGTGGTGGCTGGGGATCGAACGGGCCCTGCGCAGATTTGGGCAGCTTCGCAGCTCAGCGATCAACCACTGCACCACCAGGGGAGGCCCAGGATTAGTGCTTTCTAAATGAAGTAGGAATAGCAAAGTACTGTGTTACTTTTCAAGAGAAGTTTCTTTCCTTCTTAGGGAATTCATTCTCAAACTGTATGAGGTATGCTTTGTGCCAGATATGTGGCTGTGCCCCTAGACAGGTCTTCACCCTGGTCTATATTCACCGTACTGCACCAAGCTGCTTAGCAACAGAAGTGGTGGCCATGGGAATGGTTATCACCAGAGAAGAAACAGAGACAAGGAATGGAGACCTGGGCAGGAATAAGCATTTTTGGCTTGTCCAGCAAGTGCCTGAGGCTGTGTAATGAGGCTGTGAGCCCCATTACAGCACCTGGAACACTCCTGTCAAACTGTCAGTTGATCTGTGGTGTAGGTGAAGAGCAGAGTGGAATTGGGCTGGACCAGAGGCTGTCTTCCTAGATAGCTATTGCCCAAATTAAGAAGGAAAATCAAGACATTTTTAATACCTTTATTAAGAAATATCAAAAGTTGCTTACAGTTCCTTACACAGCTTTACAAAGTTCAAGTGAAGGGGAAAGTAGGGATGCCATCAATATACATATCTAGACATAAGGGTGTTTACCAAAGAGCTAACACTTTAGCTGTCCTGTCACCTTTTTAAACAGTGGTCCACAACAGTGCTTTTCTCCATTTTCATTAGGCCATTAGGCCACAGCACAATACCCTAAGTAACTTGAGTTTTCATTCATCACAAATACTTCCTGAATCTCTATCCTTTTATTCTGTCATCATCCTTCCCTGAAAACATTTGAGTACCATTCACTGCTGTTTGTATCACATTTTCACAAAAACCTGCTTTGAGAGCAGGAAAATATGGCAAATTACACGTCACCACACTACACTTGGAGAGAACCCATATACATGGTTACTTTTAACAAAAAAGAGAGGGAGTCACTCACTTTGGAAACAAATCACCGCATTCATTCAGTGGAACTGTTAAGTGGAGGACATGCCCGCACACTCCACTGAGCGCCAGTCACAAGTGGTCAGCAGCATGACCAGAACACACAGCTGCAGGAATACCAGCACAGAATCCAGGAGGGGATCTTTTTGGGGGATGATACATCATGATCTTTCAAGTCAGGGACATTGCATCAGAGAGGAATCACACTTTCAAAATAATTGGGGCTAGTAGGTCATCCGTACCCGATAGGAAACGGCAACGGTGTGGCGTGCCTTGGCCAAGGCTTGTGCTGGGTTACCTAAAAGGATGTTTCTGAAGAGATTGTCCAGCAACATCAGAAAGAGCCATCTTCAGAGGAAGGACTCCTTGTTCACCCACATGAGGCTGCGTGTCTCGTTGGGCTTGCATTCATACTCAATGACAGAGAAGGGGCTTCCCCACTGGCAGTGATCGCGCTTGTGGTAATTGTAGAACTTGACTTGCCACACGGTCTCAAAGGTCCCAATGTCAGTGAACTGAGGGCAGAGAAACACGTCCAATAAAAACCCCTTTCTGTCACATGCAATAGACAAGAGCTAACATTAGTTGAACAATTCCTGCATAGTTAAATGTGATCAATCAAGACTGAGTCTGCAAAGCTTTATTTTATCAAACTATTTTCCTCTGTCTTGGAAGACATTTCTTCCCTAAAAAGCTGTTTGTCAGCTATTTTTTTCTCTATTAAAATCTTGTCCCCATTGTATAAATGCCATTTGCCATCATAATGCCTTTAATAAAAATAACTGCCCAAATTGACCTGTTTCCAAATTTAATTTCTGGAACCTACTGTTAGAATCTAAGAAATTTAAAACTTGCCACAGATGTGGATGGAGAAGATAAGGAATAGTTTAGTGATTGTCTTTTGGTTTCTACTTCAAAAGACAACCATATGAAATACATGTACAATATAACTAAACAAACTACTATTGCCCATACAGCATTAGTTTCCATTTCAGGAAAAAAAATATTTATTGGGAGCATCTGATTGTTAAAACCCTTCTTTAACCTTCAAAAGCTATTGTGTGTTTATAAGTTAGGAATCCATGTCTCAGGCTTTGATGATATATTACGCAAAACCATTTTTGAGTACCTACTATGTGCCTTGCACATGTTAAAGTTTTGTGGAAGGCATGATTTTTCCTTTTAAGAAGTTTACATTCTACTTCTAGAAAGTAGGCCCTGCAGATCACTGCACATAATTCTCCTGTGCCATACACACCCCATTCTCATGTAGCTGAGAAGAGGGCACAGGATACCCTAGAGGCCAGTGGGCAGGTGCTCAAGTGGCCAGTGGGGTAGCCTGACCCTGCCACCACCTTCTGGAGCTATTTAGGGGATCTGGCATTAAACAGCATGATGCTTGTTGTTATTTTCTTCTCTGACCCTCTCCTGTCATGGGAAGGGACAGGGACTGACTTGGCAGTGTTTTTAGACTTGTCAGGAGCCAGGAGATATGTCAGGGGGAAGCCAGCCACAACAGGAGCCTTATGCTGGTAGCTGTGACAGGATGATGATCAGGTGCTTCCTGCATAGCTTTCCAAGATGCTCTCAAAATTATTTTCTACACCATTGCCTCATCCTGCAAACAAGGTTTGGCTTTATTTTGGAAAATCTGCTCGATTTGAAATAGCATGTGAAATACCTATAGTCCACAAATCTCCCAGGTAAGAAAACAAAGTATCTCTTTTTAGAAAGTCATGGCTTACAGACCTGTACAGTATACAGTAGCTTTATTCATAACAGCCCTGGACTGGAATCAACTCAAATATTGCATCATTCATCTGGTGATAGTCAAGTTTTGGTATAAGATGGCATTTTACTCAATTATATAAAGGAATATACTGATTGAGGCAACAATATGAATAAATCTCAAAGATATGCCAAGCAAAACAATTAAGACCCCAAAGAATACATGCTGTATGACTCCATTTATATAAAATTCATATATATATATATAAAATCTATAGTGTTAGAATTATAATCCATGCTGACAGGAACCATATGTGGTTACCAAAGGCCTGGGTTGAGAAGAAGGAACTGATGATTGATGAAAATGTACAAGAGGGGGCTTCTGGGTTGATGGAAACATTCTATATCTTTTTTTTTTTTAAATAATAAATTTTATTTTTATATTCCCCATACAATTGCAACCCCCCCCATTCTGACCCCAATCCCTCCCCTCCCGCCCCCCATCCCCCAAAAAGTGTCTCTGGTTCATAGTTTTTCGTTGATTTTGATTTTCACTTTCTTATAGTTATTCATTTTCCTGGTCCCTTATTTAAGTTTTCTAGATTCCTGCTATGAGTGAGACCATCCGGTATTTTTCTTTTTCTTTCTGGCTTATTTCGCTGAGCATGATCCCTTCCAGCGCCATCCATGTTGCTGCAGATTGCATGTGTTTATCTTTTTTTGAATGCTGAGTAATATTCCATGGTATATAAAACATTCTATATCTTGATTGGGGTGGTTGTTACATGAGAGAATGTATATGTTTGTCAAAACTCATTCATCAGCAAGCTTAAAATTGGTACATTTATTATATATAAAAAATGCAATATTTTTAGTCAAAGTTGACTGAAAAATAGAAATATCCATTTTCAGTGAACTCTAGGGAAACAGGTATTCTAAACATCATGAATGGGAATTGAATTATACAATCTTCTAAAAGGGTAATTAGTATCAAGTTAAAGGTGTGAGTATAGTTGGGTCCAGTAATTCATCTGGACCCATTATAATCATCTTAAGAACATGACACTATTTAAAGCAGTGAAAAATTGTACAAGAAATATTCATCTAAGACACGAATTATGACATAGCTATCTAATGGAATACTTACAGTGATTCTAAATGTAAATATACAATAAAGTTTTTGTTACTCTATATTGTTATCTTAACCAAGCAGAGTACCAGTAAGAATGTAGTATTACTCCAATTAATATTATATGGCTAACACTGGAAATGCTGATAGAATAAGTTTTACTTTCTTCTAGGTATTCTCGTATTTTCAGAATTTAATGATTGAATTTTATTTTTATAATCAGAAAAGATGTTATGTCAAACTGTATTTACAACAAGTACTACCAAATAGTTAATATAATTAATATAAAAGATTATATGAATTAATTAGTAAGAGCTACAGAAAACATTTGGATCAAACTATTAATAGAACAGAGTTTATAAAAAATGGCTAACATTTGAAAGATTCAAATGTAAAATTATTAAAAATAAACTTTTACAAAAATATTATTCATCTATCAACTTAGCAAAAATTTATAGATACCAGAGGAAATGTAAGCATCCAATATAATATTAGGGAAATATTATGAAGATGGTGGCATATCCATATGATGGACTAATATAGCCATTAAACAGGAATTTAGGGTTTTTAATTATGAGAAAAATGTTTAGAAAAATATTTAGAGGTAAAATATGGATTAAAATGGCTTATATACAATATGAGCTCAATCATGTAATAGGATATATAAAAAAGAGAAAATAGAAATATTAACACTAGCACTTCTAAGAAATTGAGTGATTTTTTTCTTTTCTACTCAAATTTTCTATAATAAATGTTACCTTTATAATCACAAAGAACTTTTTTAAGGGCGAAAAGTATTTATCATTCTTAAAAAATATATATATATATTTATATATATTTATATATATATGATAGGAGCAGGTCATGAACCTAGGTTCCCTTATCCCTGTACATATATATATATTATATATATATATATATATGTATATATCCTCAAGCCCTAAGGATTTGGTAAATTACTAAGCAAACATATAACCTAGTGAACATATTATTTGTTTATAATAGGGTAGTGGTGGTAAGCATAAATTGAAATCTCACTTTATAAACAATCAAGACTTTTAAAGAGGGTTTAGTATTACTTATTTTTGACCAGTATAGGGCATTACACATTTTAAATGCAATTGAATTAAGTGATAAAAATGTTTTGCAAACATCAGCTCATTTTTTGAGGAAAACAGATTGAAACCATTCTAGGTAAGTGGGAAAAAGCATGTTGAGGACTTTTTTGAAATAGATATAAATAAAAGTTGGCTGTAAAAAGCAAATAAAAAAACCAAGATGACTATGGCCATAATAAGAAAAAAACAAGGCACCCCACTTATGTTTAAGTAACCTTGAAACTAAGAAAGCCTCAAAGTTCACAACAACACAGGAGATCAAAATAGAAATATGTTGACAGCAACAGTCATAGCTACAGATATGGGACATTAAGATTTGCTTTCTTTTTTGGTTTTGTTTCTTTTTTATTACTATTGGACTCAAGGTCATGTTGTAATAAACCTAGGCACTGCTAACCATGCATATATTTCCTCTCTGCAATGTCTTAGTTGCTTTAACTTGCTATTATCTTTCTTTCTATTCTTTCTCCTGGAGTTTTATTTCCTAGGGCTCTCAAAACCTAGCTCAAGAATTTCTTCTCATCTGATTAAGAACAGATGGGATCTCCAAAGCTGACATTCTGAAAGAACAGAAACAAAGCTCTTCATTCCCTCTCAACCCATCTGTGTCTTCCCAGGAAAATTTACTCAGGCAGACGCCCTAGGTGATATAATTTATAGACAGGTAAAATCCCATGCATTGGCATAGCACTTTTATTTAATCTTATACAGTATTTTCACGTATTGTCATTCTATTTTGATCATATGACATTTTAACATCTCCATTTTATGGATTAAAAAAAAAAAAAACAGATTCAGAGAACTTAAGTGACTTGCCCGAAATCTAGACTATGCAGCTAGCTAATGATAGGAGTAGGTCAAGAACCTAGGTTTCCTTATCCCTATCTAGGAACTATTATCATTGAGTCAGTCTATACACACAAGCAAGAGTAAGGTTTAATGAACAGTTTGCCTTCTTTCCTCACTGAGTAGGACATACACAGATTGTCACATGTACAATGCTTTAGGATATTGATATGAACTGAATATTTGTGTCCTCCACCCCAAATTCATGTGCTGAAGCCTAAATTCCCAATACAATGGTATCTGGGGGTGAGGCCTTTCAGAGGTCATGAGGATGGAACCTTCACAAGTAGGATTAGTGCCCTCATAAAAACAGACACAAAAAGGATGATTTTTCTTTCTCTACTTCCCGCCCCCCAAACTCTGCTCTCCTTCATGGGAACAAGTAAAGTGTCTCAACAGACATCAGATGTGCTAGTCTTTTTTTTTTTTTAAAGGTGAAGACTGAAAATTTTTATTCTTAAAGATTTATGTATGTATACATACAAGAATTGGGGTACAGGCCAGAGTTGTGGGGGGTGAGAGGATTCACCAGAGACAGAATGGGGAACAGAACAGGCAGATCTACTGAAATACACTGCTGAGGGGAGTAGCAGGTGAGTCAGGAGAGGTTGCTGCACCATGTGGGTAGTTCTCTGCCCAGGGATCGAACTCGTGCTGCAGTGGCTGTGGATAGCTTCATAGACTGCGTCTTAAC